ATACATTCATACAATCAATAGAAAAATGGCAATATTCAAAACAGATATACAATATTCATAAACAAAATTAAACTACAAATAAGCCATAAATTGTTTATACAATATTCATACACAAAATTAAACTACAAATAAACCCACAAATCGTTATCTTTGGACCACGCGGGTTTCTTATCCGAACCCTAAGGGACGAACGCAGCAGGTGGCGGCACGGCGAGGCGCGGGGCATCTGAATCTTGGACTCTTTTGTGTCTCGTGGGTGAAGATCGACTGCTAAAGGTGGCTTTCTGGTGGAGGTGCGAGGGGGCGACCAATTCCTGGAGAGATCCGACGGCCGATTTTGATTGAAGCGCAACGCTGCGGAGATCCGATGCAGATTTTGATCCGACGGCCTTCGAGAAAGCGTCCAAGATCTGTCTTGTTTGCGGAGATGCGGCCGCGGAAGATCTTGTTCGGTTGCTTAGTTTATCATTAGGTTTTGGGGTTTTAGGATCTTGGGTTTTAGAAGAGAAATTGTGAATGGAAATTAGAGATTGTTTCTGTAAATGAAAGAGTGAAGGAAAATTCTACAGAAATGAGGAGTGAAATATGTGCGGTAGGTATTTGAATGAACTTATGTGGAATAAAAATCTCGAAGAGATGTTTTGGGGGATAAAAAACAATTATTCGTTTTATGGGAAATAAAATCAAAAGTACTCGTGAGAGGGGTAATTAACTCTAAAAAAATAGGCTTCCTGTGGCTATTGAATTGCCTAACAAGCCCAATTTATTAAAATTGGGCCCAAAACCATGTCTACATGTACATTACCAAACCGAATACATAAAAGTTTGAGGGGAAAAAATTACAGTAATAGAAAGTGAAAAACGTGAATATCACTTAAGCGGTTAAGCGCACATGCACAGGCGCACCATTAACTGAGAAAGTTCATATGAAGTCGGGTTTCATCTCAAAATCAATTGATGTAAAGAGGAATAGTCCATTAGACTTATAATGGGTCTATTTTCTATGTATGAATAGGACAACTCACAAGTGATATTTTAACATTCTCTTTTTTTTTTTATAATTATTAATAATTTTCCCCTAATTTAATAATGTTGTGTCTAATTTGTGTTGGGTGTTACTATTTATCCTAATCTTGTAAGTTTTTTGGTTCTTTGTTATTTTTATTCACTTTTATTTTTAATTCTTTTGCTCTAATTTAATAATATTGTGTTGGTTTCTCATTCATGATTCTTGTTGGTAAATGAAATTGGAGTCTTCACAAACTAACCAACAAGTACATAAATCACAATATTGAAATAAAAATAAATAAATCATGAAAAGAAAGCCTAATTTTAAGCTAAAGAAGATTAACTGTGGAGCACATTCATTTAGATTTTTAGAGATAACTATTTAATATATTTTGTTGTTTTTGTTAGTTTTACTTGATATCTCCATCCAGACTTACGTTTCATCAATATTTTATTTATTTATATTAAATTTCTGAATATATTTTATTTAGGTTGATTTTTCAAATGGATGCTCACGTTAAAAAAAAAGAAAACTATGTGTTCATTTTTTAAGCCCAAATCCAACATGAAGGAGTCATCACTTTATACGACTTTTTAAAATATCAAACGAATACACCAAGATTATTAAAATCTCAAACTATGTGAATAACTCATGACTTTTTAAGGCTTTTTGAAATCCAAAATGAATACCAAATAACTTTATACGACTTTTTAAAATCTCAAAGGAATACATCAAGAATTCTTAGCACTTGAATTCTTCAAGAATTCTTTAAGAATCTAGAATGAATGAATTTCCAGAAGATATATAGTCACATTGTATCTTAGCACTTGAATTTGTCTGGACTTTTATAACTTTCTAAGATTTTACAGAAAAAGTACATCTATGAAATTCAAAACCAAATCCCACCTCAAATCATAAGATTTAAAAGGATTTCACTTAAATTCACAAATTTTAAAAAATCTAAAAAAAGACTCAAATTTTAAAAAGTCTTAAAATGCCACTCAAAATCCCAAACGAATACACGCGCCTTCTTTCGTCCAAACTAAGGATTGAGAAAAGGTTAATATATGTATAGTATACTGGTAAAATTATACATCTTTTGTAATATTATACTTATATTATTACATTCTTAAGCAAAGTCTCATATTTTAAATTTTCATAATTTTAAATATTTATTATTAAATTTTTATATCGCATATTGCCCTTTATTTTTTTTTATAAGATATTATATTATTAACTATACTATAAAAGATAAATTATAAAATTTATACCAAAAACATTCAATAATATTTTTTTTGGAACTATTTTATTTTCATTTTCTGTTAGAATGATAGACGTGATTAACAAAAGCACATAATTACAACCGGTTAACTAGCCGAATGAACCAGCTACAAAACTGAATTTAGATTGAATGGCTACCCAAAGGGAACCTAAATTATACAACACAAATACAAACAGAACACACAAAAAACTAAAAAGAAGTGGAATAAATAATTTGTTAATCATATTATAATTGATTGTGGAATAAATTTATTTTTTATACAAAATGAAGTGGGTCGGATAAAATCAAGTTTTAAGAATTTAGGTTACCTATTTATCTAACGGACGCCCGATTATAACGAGTCGAGTCCAGATAAAGTAAAATATATGCGGGTCGAGTTCGAATTTGTTGAAACCCACACTCAACCCGTTTTTCCAGTTTTGAGACACACACAAGTGTCGTCCATCACGATTGATCTATATACTATGTATCTCATTTGACATAGCTAACTACTCTTTCGTTCCGATTATATTAAACAAGCTCACATATATATATAATTCTAAATTGAACATATATATATACACCGAGTTTCATCGTAAATTCCCAACAAAAAAAATGTATGAGAGTGTCTTTCAGCTTTTCAAGTGTTTCAAATTTCAAAACTTGCAACCATAGTAAATGAGCGTCACATCATAATACTTTTTTATATCCTTTTCCTGTCGAGGCTTCAATCAAATTGCCAAAATTTGACCCTCCCTCTTAATTAGGTTAGACAGAATTTTAATTCCACGTCTCGAATTGAAAACCGCTCCATAGTCCACAACCCACTTAATTCCATTTTGTTTTTAATTTTTTATTAACTAATTAAATTCTCACTTAAATAATTCGGATTTACTAAACTTAGATTTTTATTTTTAATTTTTGGAAAACTTTTTACCTAATTAGCTTGATCAAGGGTTGAATGAAGATAACTTATCAAAAACATAAATATGTCATTAAGTTTAATTTATTGTTCTCCAGATTTGTTGTGTGTGAAAGTATTTTGTTAAATTAATTAACAAAATAGTTAATTATATGAAGTCAGTTTTATAATTAGTGTCAACTTTAGGGCGCATTATATATATAAAAAAAAGCAAAAATCTGTGGAAAAAAACAAAAAAAAAAAAGTTGTGGAAATGGGTCAAACAGCCGGATTTTCAGAATCCGTTTTTCTAATTAAATTTTTAATTGAAAAACGGATTCTCACAATCCGTTTTTAGTTTTGATTTTTTTTTTTTTTTT